TTGCAGATTGGTGGATAGGGAGGCTCATACTCCTTCACCCACTCCAGGAAACATCTGATTGAATTGTTAAATCTGCCCTCTGAAATGGATTGTCCCTACTGAAAAAACTCTGGCCCAGGCATTGATCCCAAGCCCCACTGGTTTGGACCCCGCTTGCAGGACAGGCATCTGAAGAACACACTGCATTGCAGGCAGGTGTGTTTGCAGGTCCCTGGTCACCTAGACTAACTTTAAGGATCCTCATTGCTCTTTCACAATTCCTTTAACATTTGTCAACTCTTTTAGCGATTATTACACCTTTTCACTTTATTCAATCCTTCAACTCTTCCTCTACCCCACTTATTCTCAGTAAATTACCTTATCTCCCACACACTGAGAAAATGGAAGCTATCTCATGTGAATGCCTCTTCCTATACAAATTGCTCTCCAGTTTTTAAAATCTACTGTCTTCTCTTCCATACAGAGAAAATGTGTCCTCTTTTCTATACCAAATGAGTCTACTCATCTCTTGATCCTGTTTCTTCTGACTGCTCTGGGCCTTGTTCCATCAATTACCACTCATTTGCTCGAATCTTCAATTCATTCCCTTTGGCTACTTATGAGAGTATGTGTAAAGGACACTGATCTACCACTCGGATTCCCTTTCAAGACTGAAGGATTCAGTCCCCTAGATGCCAGGAGTGCTGCTGGAAGATGGCCCTTAGCCATCAGCCTTCTTCAGGAATTGCCTCAGCAGAAGAAAGTAACCTCACTAAAGTTCACGTATTCTTCCCTGGGCAGCTCTCCTCTAACGACTGGGTTAATGTGGGGAATATAAAGACCAGCCTTCTCACCTTAACTTGAGACAACTCTGAAGGGTCTTCTCAGTTTCAGAGCTCCTTAAGTCTTGGCCAAGGTCTTCATTGAGACTGCATCATTGCCCAACTTCTCCCTCAGTCCAGTCTTGTCTCCTTTCCTTGCCTTCCACAAGTTGTTAAACCTGACAGCACTCCCTAATTAACTTCATGCTAATCATCTCAGAGCCTGAATCCCAGGGTACCCTCCTTATGACAGTATGTTTGTAAGATGAGAACATTTAATAATTTGTTAGGTAGTACCAAGTTGCCCTTTCAAAAAGCTGTACAAATTTGCACTCCCATCACCAATGTAGAAAAGTGCCTCTTTTCTACATTGCCTAACTACACCCTAACTGCCACTACTGGATGTTATCAAGTTTTTAAATCTTACCATTCCATAAGTGACAGATGGTGGCTTATTCTTGCTTTATTTGTATTTTTAAAAATTATGCGTATGAGTAAGAATGTTTTTACATATTATTTACTGGCTATTTATATTTCTTTCCCTTTCATTTGCTTGTGTTATTTGCACATTTTTCTATTGCACAGCCATACGTATTGGTAATATACCATATACCATACGTATATTAATTTTCAAGTACCATTTGTATAGTAAGAAAGTTGCAAATAAGTTTCTTCAGTTTGCTGTTTGTTTGGCTTTAAGACTTTCTTCCAGTCATTCAAGTGTTTTGAATTTTTAAAATTTGCTAACATTACCAACATTTTTCCTATGCTTCTTGGTTTTCTGTCATGCTTAAATTGGCATTTCCCATTCTAAGATTTGGGGGAAAAACACTAATATCTTCTCTAAAACTTAGCTCAAATGCCATTGCTGTCACAAAGATGTCTGTGAGAACCTCGACCAGGTTAACCCCCCAATTCCCTTCTCCCTTTGTATAATATAAATCACATTGCCCATCATATTCTGCCTTAACATTATGGCCATTTTTATTATTCTCCAGACTCTTCTATTGGAATGTAAGTTACTGAGGGAAGGAATTCCATTTTAAATCTCTATGTATGCCCTCCAGTATCTAGAATGACTTGCGTAAAGTCCTACTTAAATATTTATTGAATTGTATTAACTAGTACTGTTTAATTATGTGACTCTGACACTAAGGGTGAGTGATTTTATATGTATGTATACATACACACGTGTCTGTATATGTATACATACACGTATATATGTATATTTCACACACATTCTCATCAGCCATAAATTTTGTGAAATTTTGTGACTATTTTTGTGCTTGGATAACTCTTAGTTCTGCCATCTTTAGACCTGAGCCACACTTACCAAAGGCTGACTGCAAAAACACCACTTGAGAGTGAGGTCTCAGGGCCTGCCAAGTGACAGGTGACCAGAACACTCCTAACTGAGGAGGCAGATCAAGCAGAGTGGTTCCTAGCAATAGGGGAAGCATATATGAAGCCATGACACAAAGTGGCCATCCTCCCCCAGAGGAAGCAGAGCCCAGCCTCCCAACACCATGACCATCTGCCCCATCAGTGGCATAGATTGCTCCAGGCCGTACTTTCGGCTGGGGAAGAAGTCCCTGATGTTGAGGACAAGATACAGGCAGGTATCTCAACTAGGTCAATACACTGAGTTATCAGCTCAGGTGGATTAGTCATTGCAGTTCCATTGCCCAGTAGTCCTAGTCTCGGATTCCATGGTTTCATTTTCTCCCTTCTCATTCTCTTGAGCCCATTCAAATATGGCTTTCATGCCACCACAACTGCTCCTGCCAGGGTCACTGGTGACATCCACATGGCTAAACACAATGGCCAGTTCTCATTTCTCACCTCACTGGCCCTGCCAGGAGCATCGGCCTGGTGGATCCCTCTCTACTTCCTGAGGGCTTGATTGGGCTCCCTGGGCACCAGTTTTTCTCATACCTCACTGGATGCTTTATTCTCCTCCTTTTCTGGTTCTTCCTCTGCTTCGTGAGCACTTAACATTGGAGAACCCCCAAAGTACAGTCATTGGACCTATCTTTTCTATCTAGATTCATTTTCTTGATGATCCCAGCCAATCTTATAGCTTTCAATACTGTCTACCTGCTGACAAATTCCAAATTTTATTTCCTCTAACCAGACTTGTAGGTCCAGCTGCCTACTCAACATCTCGCTTTGGATGTCTAACAGACATCTCAAATGTAACATTCCAAAACTGAGCCTCTGATCTTCCCCTTCCCCCAAATCTGCTCCTCTCACAGTCTCTCCATTTCAGTAAATGACAACCCTATCCAACTAGTTACTCACACCAAAAACTCTGGTGTCATCCTTCACTCCTCTCCTTTTCTCACACCCACATTCAATCTGTCAGCAAATCTACTTTTACGATATCTTCAAAATATACTCAGAATCCGAATCCTCCTCACAACCACTCTGCTAACCACCCTGTGCAAGTTACTATCTCTTAAGTGTCTCTCTTTTCTCATCAATAACTGGGGGCAATAATAGCCTATGACTTACAGGGTTCATATGTGGAATGAAAGACATGTAAAAAACTTAGCATAGTGCCGAACAAATTGTTAGTGCTTGGCCAGGTGCAGTGGCTTACACCTGTCATTCCAGCACTTTGGGAGGCTGAGGAGGGAGGATTGCTTGAGGCCAGGAGATCAGCCTAGGCAACGTAGTGAGATCTTGTCTCTACTAAAATTCAAAAAAATTAGCCAGGTGTGGTGATGCATGCCTGTAGTCCCAGCTACCTGGGGGACTGAGGCTGGAGGATTACTTGAGCCCTGAAGGTCAAGGTTGCAGTGAGCCATGATCATGCCACTGCACTCCAGCCTGGGTAACAAAGTGAGATCCTGTCCCCCCACCCTCAAATAAAAAAGTTGTTAGTGCTTAATAAATTTTAGGTTTCAGTATTATTTGTGGTCTCTCTTTTCTAGGAGGTTTCAAGAAGATGTGACTAGTAAAGTTGAAGCTATCAGCTCCTTTTCATAAGAACTGAGTTTTTCCTTCAACACATGAAATTTTCATTTTAAAGATTTCAACTGACTGAGCTAAAGAAAAAGAAGTCTAAATTAACCTCAGCCAGTAAAACTGTCACAAATAAGATCCAAATAAAGGGTTAAAAAGCACAATAGCAATTTGAATCATTGGAATTCTTCTCTAGCCTGATTAAGAGGAATTTTCAGCTAACCTAAAAAATATTTTAAATCTAAAGTTATATAAGATTGTCACATATCATACTGCATAGCTGCATACAGCCCTAGCTTCACAACCTGAAATAATTTGGGGATATGAGGAAACTCATAGGATGTTTCTACAACAGCAACAGATATAACAGCCATCATTTGTATAAAACAGCCCTATTTTATAAACCCATAGTCCCAACAGATCTATCATCCCAACTAATTAGTAATAGGTAGAAAGATTCTGGAAAGTTCTCAGTGTTATCTGAGATGTCAGCAATATATAATAGGCCCGAACCATATAGGAAACATCTTGGGTAAGTGCTCTAATGCATAAATTACATACGTGGATATCACTAATAAGATAAACCATTGCACTAAATAATCAGAAAAATATTTCAGAGCATTCAACTTGTCCTTTAATGCAATCGCTTTGTTAATCTGTGATAAGAAACAGTATTTGAATAGATAAAAGTAGATGAGCAATTTTTCTTACTTGAATGTGTTTGGAAAATCATGTTTCTTCTTTATTCTTTTAGTATGGATCTCTCTCACCATATATATGTCTGTGTGCGTGTGTGTGTGTGTATATATATATATTTACATACATATAAATATATGAAACATCTACCATGTGCTGAGTAATGAGGAAACAATAGTAAATTGTTTTTATTACTAAGCTCCTTATAAAAATATTTTGATCATTTTGAGTATAAGAGCTAGGTAACAGTGGCCTTGGAGTGTTTTAAGTTGGGGGGCGGGGGATAACCCTAATATAAAATCATCAGGAATTGACTGTGCTTAATTTATTAGATTTTCTTTGTCCATATTTAATTACACATTATACTCTGTGGTATTCTTAGAGTGCTATATACAATGTAAACAAATTTAAATATCACATATATGCAAAAAGTTGCTTAGTAAAGGTAAACTCCCATTAATACCTACTGTGGGATCATTTTAGCTGATCCATGTGTACTTTGTATGCTAATTTGATTTATTTATCTGTTTTTTGTAGGAAGTCCTGGCTGAGCAAGATTGGAAGCCCTAGTTCTCGCATTGACCGCACAAACTTTTCTAATGAAAAAACCATCTCTAAACTTGAATACTCTAATTTTAGTATTAGATACTAATAGAAGAGAAAAATTGTAATGCTTATACTGCACAATAGATACTATATGTTCTTAAGACTATGTATACTAGAATAATAGTAGTAGAGTAGGGTGAAAAAGGAACTTTCCGTTCTGAAAGCTAAGCGACTGTGTTACTAAAAATGTCTGACACTGGAATAATTTTACTCAACTATGTTTTCAACAAGCAAAAATGTAGTATGCTAAGATTAAAATGTCATTACAAAATATTTAGTATGAACAATTTAAACTTGTCTCATGGAATCTTTAATTTCAATGAACATTACAGCATATATGACATATGTTATTTGGCGAGACATAAAATAAAGTTAACCATTTAAAAATTATTTTCACATACTGTTGTCTGTGTTGAATTATAAAATCCTCTGAATAATTTGTTACTACAGTTGAGTAATTTGTCATTAAACTCTTTAAAAACAACCAGCACTTAGAAATAAATGTATGTGATGATCAATATAACCATAAAATATTATCAACAAAGAGTTTTTAAAATTCTGGTTAATGTGAACATTATTCAGTTGGAGCTACTTAATGCCTTCTATATTGCTGTGTACAGTGAACATTCAGGCTGAGTGATGGTGGCTAACAAGAACTCACAATTTCAGTATAGCAAGCATCAAGATTTTCAACCACCACCCACAACAGATATCCTATTAACCAGAAAAGAAACTGAGAGTCTAAATGAATCATACAATACTGTCCCCTAAATTTGGCCTATCACTTGGGAAGCTTCACATGTAACTGATAAAGCAACGGAGAATATAAAGGGGAAAGTTTTTTTCTATAGCATAAAATTATATTAAAAGAGGCAGACCTTTAATGCAAAAGACTGGGGAATTTCCAGTGTTGTAGGCATATACTTGCACATATTCCATGATTCTCGAACTTTTTATAGCAATGGAATCCTTCCTTAAACCAACATTTTATATAGAATTGAATACATAAGTTTTTAGAAAAGCAAAAACAAAGCACAGCTGGTGTAATTAAAGTGGGGATAGGCGTCCCCAGAGCCTTGCACACTTGGTGTCCCTCTCTCTACTTGGACAATTTCAAATACCTTGCTAGTACACTTTGAAAACCACTGTTCTATTTAAGGAACAAATCTCTATTGCTATCCTCCATGGCCTGGAGAACGAATGCAGGCCTCTTTCTCTTCTACCTACTGCAAGATAAGAAATGAGGAGAGATGAAGGGGGCGGGGTGAGTTTGTTCATTGGAAAGGTTAACTCCTTGATGATAATATTGAGATCAAATGTATATAAAACAACATGACATTAGGGAATGACTTTCCAAATAAACAAAGGACTAAACAAGTTTCCTATTTTAATACCATCATCATGTTAAATATTACATGTGTCAAATGTCACACAGGAGAATCTATTTAAATATTATTTGGATTTTGCTCTCCCCTTCTGTTACCCGACTCCTGATTCAAGAAAGATTGACAAGTCTTTGTGTTCCCTTATTTCAGGGAAAGCTTTGGGTGCCAGATCCCCCTGAAGACAACCTTTCTTCTATAATTTCATTTTAAAGAGGGCATTATCCTGTGGGTCGAAGAGAAAGACAAATGCTGGGCTCTTAGGGGGTAAAAGAGTAGCAGAAGTTGTGAGAACTAAAGAAGACAAGGAGGTTATCCAAGACTTTGGAAAGGAAACAAAGGCTGTGGATTTCCCGAGTCCTGGAGACCTGCACCTTTCTCCCCAGTGGCACCTCTACCTATAGCTAAACCTGAAAAGGAAGCAGCTGTAGTTCCCAGAGAAGCCAGATCCCAGGCCCAGGGGCTCTCAGCATTAGCAAGATTCCTGCCCCATAAATGCTTCAAAGCATCCTACAAACACCAGGGTGGTTATAAGGGGCCCCGGTGGTTTGAACAGTGATCATAGCAACTGGTATGCGCTGGATACCGAGAGGTCTTTCCTTAATGTTTTCTCTGCATATGACTCTTTGCATGTTCTTTCTGAGAGAGGGAACAAAGCACCAGGGATGACTAAGATACCCACCTCCAGAAAGGATGAGGTTTGAAGCAGGCTCGCTTTGGAGAAAATAAAATAGACATTTATTTCCCCTGCAAGTTTGAAAACAAAACCTATATCTCTCTACACAGAGAAAGGCTAAGTGATTGAAAAAAATGTATGATCTCAGAAGTGACACCAATATGTCACTTCTTATTATCCTGATATCCTTTGGTAGTTCCCTTCCCTGCTCTCTCTATAAGAAAATCACGCATCACTAGAACAATCTTCTAACTGCACCAAATGAATCACACTAGTCAAGATTACTTAATGATTTGTACATAACTAAATTCTATTATTGGATGAAAAATGTACATTATAATTGAAAAATAGGTGTTCAGGAGTGGGTAGAAAGCAAGAGAAATCAGGATAAAGCAATATAAAAATATGGGGACCAGGTAACACATCTCAACAGTAAACTTAATATGTCAAATTTCATATTGAATTTATAGTGAATTTTAAATTTACATATATTTTAGATAACAAATTTTTATACATTTATTTGTATCAGAATTAGACATTTTAGAAACCAAGAAAACAATTAAGCAAAAACGGATACCTACATTTTAGTGACTATCAACCAGCGATATCAACACTCCATGTGCCCATGCTGTTCCCCTCAAGATGCAGCGTATCAGAATTAGGGGAGAAGTGTGATTTCTAAAATCATATTATTTTTCACATTTATACAAAAATATCTATCTTTTTGTTTTTGAGACAGGATCTTGCTCTGTTGCCCAGGCTGGAGTGCAGAGGCACAATATTCGTTCACTGCAGCCTCAACTTCCTGGGCTCAAGTGATCCTCCCACCTCTGCCTCCCAAGAAGCTAAGACTACAGGTGCATGCCACCATACTAGCTAATTTTATTTTTTGTAGAGGCGAGGTCTCACTATGTTGCCCAGACTAGTCTCAAACTCCTGGACTCAAGTGATCCTCCTGCCTCAGTCTTCCAAAGTGCCAGGATTATAGGCGTGAGCCACTACTGTGCCTGGCCTTTTTTTTAAATTTTGAGATAGAGTCTCGCTCTGTTGCCAGGCTGGAGTGCAGTGGCACAATCCCGGCTCACTGCAACCTCTGACTCCTGGGTTTAAGCGGTTCTCCTTCCTCAGTCTCCCAAGTAGCTGGGACTATGCGCACCACCACGCCCAGCTAATTTTTGTATTTTTAGTAGAGACGAGGTTTCACCATGTTAGCCAGGATGGTCTCGATCTCTTGACCTCGTGATCCACCTGCCTCGGCCTCCCAAAGTGCTGGGATTACAGGCGTGAGCCACTGCACCTGGCCAAAATGCTGAGTTTTTAAATCAAGAAGTTCAACAGAATCTTCTCGACTGGAGGAAATGTGCCAGGAAAAAAAAAAAAAAAAAAGACTTTTACCGGTAGGGCACATAGGAAAAACAGGGGTGTAGGAGGAACGACAGGGGTGTAGGAGAGAAATGAGAATTTTATCTGAGGAAGGGTGTGGGCCTCTCAGGTTGAGGAGAAGCAATGCAAATTTCATCCAGGAGTGGGAATCATTAAGTTCAGGGAGTACCCTCATGCCTGAAGAATGCAGCATAGCACCTCACAGCACAAAGGCAGAAAACACTGAAGAAGGCACGAACAGGCAGTGGGTGGAGACAGACAGCAGTTATCGCTTAGTTTGACTTTGCTGCAAGCTGGTCACCATTTTTTATGACCAAGTATTTCTAACTTGGTCTACTGAAGAAATTTTTCAAAAGCATGTATCACTAAACTCATAATTAGGGACAACAGAAAAACAGAATTCACTTCTAAAAATTAGCTTGTAGTTGAAAGTATACAGGCCACAAATGTACTTTATACAGTTTATCTCCTTTCTGTTGATAAAAAATGTTCTCTGTTTGGTTAAAAGGAAACATTTTAATGTCTGGAACTAATCTGAGGAGCTCAAAACAGGCAGCATGGTATAGTAGAGAATGCTCTACTCTAGGAAGCAGAAGACCTGCATTCTGGCCCAGGCCATCCATTGATTACCTGTATGTCTCAGTTTCCTCGACTGCAACGTCAAGAAGTTAAACTAAATCAGGATTTTGTACAGGATTCCACTGAGCCACAGGACTCCCAGCAGGTGGTACCAGGAGGGCTACAGAAAGGCAGTCAGAAAGATGGGCAATTTGACCTTGGCTCAGGACCTTGATCCCTGCTCCAATCAGAGTTGCTCCACCCCCATCTCTTCCATACATTAGGATTGTCCATAAGACATCTTTTGAGAAGAATTCTGCCTCAAAGAAATCAAAACAACCACAAAGACACTGAATTTAATATCTAGGGTCTTCTTTTCTAAATGTCTATAAATGCTAAACTCGAAAGCAGTTCCTATTCTCTTCCTTACTTCTGTCAAGCCCACGTGGTATGTATACTTAATCTTAAGCTATTTTTGTTGAAAACATGCATAATTCATGAAAAGTACTACTGGAAAAAAAATTCTTCTTCATAATGGCTCCCATAAAGGTCCACAGTGGCTAAGGTGGTTAAAGTCTTTCAAAAATTTTTTTTTGAGACAGAGTCTCACCCTGTCACCCAGGCTAGAGTACAGTAACATAGTCAGGGCTCACTGCAGCCTCAACCTTCCTGGGCTCAAATAGCCCTCCTGCCTAAGCCTCCTGAGTAGCTGAGACTACAGGTGCCACCAGTAATCCAGCCTACTTTTTTAAAAGTTTTTTTGTAGAGACAGTGTCTTGCTATGTTGCCCCAGAGCTGGTCTCAAACTCCTGGCCTCAAGCAATTCTCCTGTCTTGGCTTCCCAAAGTGCTAGGATTATAGGTGTGAGCTGCCATGCCCTGTCAGCTAAAATATTTCTGAAATTAATTTTCTGTTGTCTTTCATTCCTATTCTTATCTTACTGTGATTAAAAAAAATGCAAGAGGAAATACACATATATAATTTGTGGGTTAATCAAAAAGTGTTCTATAAGCATGTCTTGGAGATCTTAACGTAACATTTAGAATCATACATAAGAACTACTTTTCGTTTTCTTAACTAGTTCAAATGGTTTTGAATAAAACTGACATCTGAAAAAATTTTTAATTTTAGAATTAAAAATTCTTGTCACTGTGTGATCTCTTTAGCTGGTTTTTCTATAGAAATAGCGTGTTTTTTATTTGCCTTTTAGAGAGCCTGACTTATGCTTTATTCTCTGCTGGAAATATCAGTATACATTTTTGGTTGGATGTTCAAGGTACTTCTTTCATCCTCAAACTACATTTTTCTTTTATTAGTTTTATTTTCCATGTTGGCAAAATGGACTTTGCAAGTAGCAGTGAATACAAGCCTGTAGTACAGCTTTTTCTCTC